TGGAATTCATAGCGGATGTGATGCGACAGATTTTCATTTTCTTGCGTTCGTATTGATTGATAACAACATTGCTTCTCGGAGACCTCGAAGTTAGAAGAGGAGGTGATGTCATGGACATACATTGGAAGATTCTTCGAATATTCTTCTAGAATATTCTCTAAAGATTCTCTAAAGATTCCTTTAGAAGGTTCTAGAAGATTCTTAGAATATTCCCTAAAGATTCTCTTAGAAGGTTCTAAAATATTCTTAGAAGATTCTAGAATATTCTGATAGATTCTAGGAAGTTGCTCGAGAAGTTTCCTAATTAGTAGAAGTTGTTGGAGAAGCGTCCTAGTTAGCGGAAGTAGCTCGAGAAGCTTCCTATTCAGTAGTATATATAGGAGTCGAGGCTGAAGGGTTCTTCAGTCTCGACAACACATCTCTTGGAGTTCTAGCTCACCTTTCTGGTGTTGTTCTTGTATACATCTGTTTAATCTAGTTCTGCCACTTCTTCTTGAACTTCTTGTTACATTTCAAGTCTGTATTTTGTGTCCGTGACAGTCAACACATATTAGAGGTCCTATAAAACATTGCCACATAGCCTTTAGTTAGATAGTATATATAGAGACAAGAGTGAAGCCCTCTCCACTCTTGTGAACTTTTTTCTTACTTCTAGTCTAGTTTCAAGAGTCTCAAGTTTCGTTGTCTTTTAGCAATAAGCCATTCTAATTTCTTTTTAATATATATACTTCCATATTTCTATTTTATTATTCTTTTTTTAACATGAATTTCATTAGTTTATGCATCATCTTTTAATTCATGTCATTGATAGAGAGGACTAATTATCGACATGGATCAAAATTAGATCCTAAGGCACAAAACCATACACCTACAACAATTCTAGATTTTTTTGGAAGACCAAAGAGTAGGATTTGAGAGTAGACTTACAAAGAAATTTTTGGGTATTATTTTTATATCAACTAAATTAATATTTAGTTTTTTGGAGAATTTTTAAAGTTAGTAATATTTTTGATTGATTTAGATTTTTAGAAATAAAACTATGTTTATATATTTGGAGGTTTCTTAAAATCTATTGTATATATATATGGATGAATTTTGGACAAAGTCTTAGCGTGCTAGTTATAAATATGTGTAAAAATTTTGAGGTCAATCAAATAGTTAGATCAAAATGTGTGAAGGTTTTTACAGATTGAGATCTTAGAAATTAGAGTTTGAAGGTCAATGAGTATTTTTAAGATCTTTAGCAATCTGACAATTTGAATGAAGTAAAAAAAATTTATATAGAGACTAGACTTGATTTTCAATAATTTAGATAAATTTTGGAAGTAATTCAATAATTCAAGAAGGAAATATTGGCACTTGAAGTTCAACATTTAGATTGAAATAGGAAGTTAGCCAACACCCGAGTAGAATTTAAGATTGATTTTCTAATTAGTAAGTTTGATCTTCTTCAAATTTTATGTACTTTTTATCAACTTAGTTTTTGAAAGATGTATAAAATCTTAAATAAAATCAATAGTATAATTGATAGATATTGAGGTTCTAAACCGCTTTAGAAATAAATTAATTTGACTAGGATTTGGTTTAGGATTTAGGAATTGGTTAGGATTTAGGACTTTTTTAGAATTTAGGATTTTTTAGGATTATTTAGGATTTGACTTAGGATTTAATTAAAAACTAATAAAATTTTAATTAATATTAAATTAAAATTTAATTAAAATTTATTTAAGATATATTTAAAATTTTATTCTAATATTTCTTTTGAATTTCTTTAGAATTCCTTTATGCTTCTTTCGTAAAAATTTTAAGATTTTTTGAATTTAATTAAAACTTGTTTAGCATTATTTGGATTTAATTGAAATTATTTAAGATTATATTAGAGTTAGAATCTTATTTTTGCAATTTTTCTTCTATCTTCCACAGCTAAGTGCTTAGTGCATTCTCAAGCAAAGCTTCATATAAATGACAATGTAGCTTCTAGTTAGATAGTATATATGGAAGTAAGATTAAAGCCTTATTCACTCTTATCAATGCATTTCTAGCCTTTAGTCTTATTTTAAGACTTTTTAATCTTCTTGTCTTTGGCAATAGCCATTCTATTTTAATATATTATCATTTTTGAATGACTTTCTAATCTTTTTGAGTGATACAAGAGTTTAATGAGTTTTTCTTTTTTTGAGATTAACGTCCTTTACACATATTCAATATGTATTTATCTTCTATCTAGCTTTTTTTATTTAGATATATATATATATATATATATATATATATATATATATATATATTTTTTTTTCTTGATATATATATATATAACTTTATTTTTGTTATAAAGTATAAAATTATATGTTCATTAATTTATATACTTTATAACAAAGTGAATTGCTTGACTCAATATTTGAAGATCATGTAAGTTCAACATCAATTTTTTTACCTCATACTGTAATCCATAAAGAAATTAGTTGATAAGTGCAACATCATTTCATTTAATAGACAAATAAAAAATCCACTCTTAATCAAGAAATAATATTATAAGTATATCCTTATTAATTTAACTATTCTATAAATAATTGAGAAGTATATCAAAGAGAGATGAAAAAAATAAAAACAAATAGATATGTATATTCAAGAAGAAACTAAATAACTATTATCAACAATTAAAAAACTAGAAACTCTTAATACTAGTTTAGAAGCAAGAAAAGAATTAATAAGAATGAGAAAGACCTTGTTCTTGCCTCTATATATAAAATCTAACTAGAAGCTATATGACAATGTTTTATAAGACTTCCAAAAAATATACAATTTGTAAGACACATGATTAGCTTGCAAGTCAAATTTCTTATATGTGTGCTATATGGCCAACTTGTACTACAAGTGGCTAACATGTACAATATGTAGCTAACTTGATGGTTAAGTTTTCAACCTATCAATCACTTACAAATAAATATAAAATAAAATTTGTATCTATGAAGCTTCTAAATTGTTTTTTAATAAGACATTGTAGAATTCATATACTTCTATTTATTTTTATCTAACTCATCTAATGTAAATAAATAAGCATGTCTATGATATTTATTTAAATAAATATAAATAAGTAGAATTTTATTAATAATTTTTTTCTTAAATCATATTAAATAATTTTGTTGAATGTCAATTTTATTTATAAGTAATTTTTAAAATGATGCATAGATTTTTAAATTTCTTTTAGATTCTTTTTATATTTTGATAGCTAAAATAGATATTAGGCCTATAAGCCTTATAATCTTTGGAAAGTTTTTATACAATCTTCTTATTAATTAGTATATATATATATCAAGCCTAAAACAATCTTTAGTATTATCAACATCTTTTCATATTTTAGACATTGTTTAAGACTTTTTTATTTTTTCTATTTAGTATATGTATAGTAATTTCAATGAATTATAAACTATATTTTAAATATTATTTTTTACTATATACATATTATTTATTTAATCAATATCTAACTAAGAAAAAAATTATATTATTTATATTAGTTTTTAATATCAATTTTTTATTTATATAATAATTTATAATAAAATAAATATTAAATAAAATAAATAAATGGATATTATTAATGGATTGAAGAAGCACATTAAAGAACAAAAATAATTGATGAAAAATCTTATATTTTTAATAAGATTACAAAACTTCTTGATTAAATAGATGTAACAAATACTCTAATTTTTTACAAAATTCAAATTTTTCATTATTTGTATAAAATAATTTACTTATTTTATATAAGTTGGTTACAATCAGTATTCTAATATAATGCTAATGTTAAATAGTCAAATTTGTTGTAAAAATTAAAAACTTATATAATATTTCTTGGCTCAAAGAATTCCTACCTTGGATTTCAAGTACAACATATCTTAAACCAATTATAGATTTGCATCTTTAAAATTATGCATAAAAAATTTGTAGATTAATTTAAATGGATGTATAAAATTGATAAATTTTATCTTATAAATCCTCCTAAGCAATAAAAATCTAAATAATAGCATAAATTGTACCATTACCAATATGTTAACAATGTCACTATTTTACTGAAAATAAATAAATAACATATTTGTTATCAATCCATTAATAATATCCATTTATTTCCTGTAGATCTTTCCCAAATTTGTTGTTATTTTTTTTCATTGTTGTATCTAAAATATTAGTATACCAGTCTATGTCGAACAGTCATAGAATAAATACACTACAAGCTTACAATTGAAGAGGAACATAGAGGCCACAAAACAAATTTTATGTTTGTAGAGGTTTGTGAATTCCAATGAATTGTTGTTCAAAGGAGTTGAAATACCAAAACACGTACACAACTTCATTTGTGTCAACGCTGATATTCCTGTACACATGTAAGGTTCACATTGGCTTCCTCTGAGGATGACAATGATCTGAACAGTTCTGCGAAAAAAATGGATACCCAACTTCCAGGATCCTTGAGCCTCGTTCGGCAACGGAAAGAGAACTGTTGCAGAGAAAGGAGTCACGTTGTAAGTAAAGCACGATGATAAATGATCAGTGGGCCTATCGCCAAACCAGAGTCCTGATTCGGATATGTAGTTCCAGAGTGGTTCCATGGATGAAGTATTTGATGCGTCACCTAGTGGAAGATTGTTATATTTGACTTATAAAATGATTGTGGTCTACACGTGGAAGAAAAAGATTAAAACACGCATGATAGTTAGAGGTATTGATGTAGGACACCTGTCGTTGAGGACATCGATACAACTCGTGAGAAGCAAGATTCGTACTGACCAAAATCTTCAGTGGAATTGTGCCACTTCTCACATCAAGATGGTGGTTTTCACGGAATTCATGGCGTAAATAGTGTAGCGTCCGTCTTCGACCCTAATTTAGGGTTCTTGTTCCTGGAATCAGATATGTATGTCGAGGAACTCAAGTGGATACCACGTTAACTGCTTCACAATGTTCTGCATTTCCGGATAATTCTTTATGGAATGGAGGCTATGCATAACGAATAAAAAAATGATTATAATATTGTTAGGGATATCCATACACCATAGAGGAAGAAATTCTTAACTGCAGATGGATTACAACCATCACGCACGGTTGAATAGCCTATTTTACAACTTAGAGATTTACACCAAACTCTCCCGTGGCTGCCCTTCTAAGATTTCACCGATTTCATGCCGTGTAAAATGTGGAATGAGTAGAATCGGTGCAAGAATCTCCCAGCGTGAACAATGCTACCGCTTATACAAACGTTTTGGTTTGTACTGCACTAATTAGTGCTGTCTATCTGCTTGTATAAAGACTTCTGATGTGCGCTTGAGACTACGAAAATTGAATTGTGAACCCTGAAGAAGGCACCAAAAAAAATTTACAGTTACTCTCGCTGATGTTGGTCATTCTTTACGACTCTTGTACCTCGTAACCAGCAATTTTTGAAGTTCTTCCTCCCCTCCAACATCCTCGAGTTCCTGAATCCAAATTCGGATCAAACCTAATGTCAAAACACAGTAGAGAAAGGAAGAAAGAGAGAAAATGAGGAATCAAACTTAATTTGAATGCAAACAATGAGATTGTTAAATGTGTTGAACCTGAGGGCCGAGAAAAAGCCCGTATGGTACGCCCTCAAACAGATCAGCGTGATGAAGCTGCAAGACAGGAACTCCGTACTGTTAGAACTTGAGCCCTTGAAAATCAGGCTAATGTCAGAACAAAGTGGTTCATGATGACGGCTAGACAGATAGACTAGAGAAACGCCAAACATCCAGAATGAACCACCAGTACCTGATGTGCAGCCGCAACCTTTTGAAGATAAGGAACGTCTGCAATGGGCCCAACTGGAAACCTTCGGTGTACAAGTCCATCATGGACAAACATATATGCCATACCGAACATTGTGATCCCAAGGCCCTGCACGAATTACCAAGGCGCTGTCACGAAAAGAGCATCTCGAACCATGTACACGGAAATCACCTAAAACATAGTGCGGAAGAGGTTTCAAAAGGTCTCCAAAGGCCACGACAAACTTAAATCCAATAGAACCTTGAACTTGATTACTCTAAAATAATCACAAAACAAGTAGTGGGGATCTTAAGACACTTACTGCTCCAAAGCAGAGACCAGGCACGAGGCCTTTGTGAAAGAAACCATATGCCATCAGCGATATGGCCGGAACAGCATTTATGATAGCGAATATGTCATTCATCTCAAAAGGTCCTTCCCGTGGTCTGTGATGCGACTGAAAACCACAGGCGACACAACTTCAGGCCAAGATCTCGCAGCCAAATATTTGTCACTAGTGTGTAGACAGTGTGGTGGTGCAATCTTTCTTATGATGAAACACAAAGAAGTGACAAGTTATACACTCACCTCGTGCATGTTCCAAAGCGAATCATGCCAAAGTGCCTTGTGAGCCCATCGCGCCCAATATTCCATACCCACCTGAGAACGATCATAAATCGTATCCGTCAGCGAACACGCTACAAGGACAACGAAATACGGAAGATACAAGCGAAGTGCGTAGAACTTATAAAATTTACACATCAGTGAGGCCAGACGGTGGGTTGAGGGGAACATAGCACAATTGCATCACGCAGTCTATCGTCATACATTGACTTACCGCGGCACCAATGGCTAACGAGAAGGTTCCCAGTATTTCCGAGTAGGGCACTTCCGATGCACCCTGCAGAAAACGAGAAAAACGTTGGCAAAGCAACTGATATCCGATACGGACAAACATACAATAACAAAGAAAGCATCCTCAGTTAGAGGCAGCATATAATCTAGCACGAACTTTCACACTTCAGACTGTAGAATCAAAAATGTCGTATTACTCCTAACAGGAGAGAGTCAGTTTTAACTGCCCTCACTAAGATGTGCCTCAACCATTTTATCATCCTACTGCAATAAACCAAGCGCACACTTGGAAGGGTTCTATCCAGAAAGATGCGAACCTGCAGTTGCCAATAGAATCGGTAGTATACAGCGCCAGCGGATAAGGTGGTGAACCCAATGCTAGAGGCTATGGCAGCTAACAAGTAAAATTTTCGTTCTCCTTTCCTGTTCCTTTTCTTCTTTGTCGGCAGTTCAGTTTCGCTCGAAGCATCGGAGCCAACGGCAGACGCCAGAGTGGAAGCAAATTCAATAGGTGACACTGGAGACTTCTCCGCACTGATATTGTCATTCCCCTCCTCCGCTCCAGCGGGAAGCTGAATAGGTTCTTGCGAAGAGTTATCAGTGGAGGCAACCCAGGTGGTAGAACTTGACTTCCGCCCATTGCTGAGCAAATCCTGCGGTCTAGCATTAATCTTCGCCGAGAGTAACCTACTATTCCATCGGGTACTACCCAAGGGATTGTACACAAGAGCACCTGGTGCATTGCGGAGCTTGTATGAGTGTGTTGCGCTCACACAAGGATGAATGTTCCTACTAGTAACTGAGTGCAGAGTGACGACGCACTCTGCCATCTTTCCTAAAAAGCTTCAATGACAGCTTCAAAACTTAGCCAAATGCGAACAGAAACAAACAGGCCGGACGCCGAGGTTGCGGCCTGCGAGCGCGAAGATAATCACTTAGTGTTCACCAAACTACAAAAACTGGATTCCTAATCTTGCACAGTGAGACAAACCACTCGCCATGAGCAGGGGAAGAATACCGCACATACAGACAGCCGTAAACAAATCTCACTAAGAAAGCACTGGAGTAGCTAGCCCAAATACTGCCCACACAATCATCGATGACAACACACTTCTAGCCACAAACGGATGGCGGAACACCTTGATCAACCTTGGAAGAAAACCTCCACAATCTCTACTTCACTCACTGACACACTCTCAGACACAGAATGTTATTTTGTACTTGCCATGGAGTCCTAAGACAACCTCCCGAATAATAAAGCCATTCAGTCCTCAACACCCTGACAATTCATGGCCGATAACCGAAGGAACGAACGTTAACTTCCGGCTGTTACTGTCCAGTCACAACACCCGCGGGCTACTCCACTGATGCACATCATGCAATGGTCTCTGCTACTAATGCAGTAACTGTGACACAGAACGTAAAAGCACGCAACGAAACTCTAAAAAATCGACGACATCGGGCAAACCACGACGACAAGAAAAAAAAAGTTGAAGTAATCAAAACGAAGGCTTCCATAGGACATAAGCGATGCTTCAATGGCCAAGCGCTACACCAGATAGGAAGCAACCAACGATTGTTAAACGAAACTCGTCGTGCACGATTCCGTTACCGAAACGGTGTCCATTCCCGGACGTGAGCAAAATCCCACACTACACAGCAAGCGATGAAGAAATTGATTCGCTGAAAATCGCACTGGAGACGGCGGGGCGGCGGTCCCACGGGAGGATAGAGGCGACAAGCTTGCCGATTCATTGGACGTCATTGGGTTCCTGATAGCAACGTGGCCGCGTCACAGCGACTGAAGCTAGAGGACTGCTGCGACGCAGCCTTATTTGCGGATCCAGCCCCCCCTTTCTCCACACACACTCACACGAGACACAGCGACACGGCGCAAGCGAGCGAGCGAGAACGACCACGCGCGCGACCGAGCCAACCCCACCGTTTCCTTCCGCTCTTCATAGACTTTCTTTCTTTCTTTTGCTTTCCCTTTCCCTTTTCCAGGGTTTCGTTGCTAATATTTCGTCCACGGCAATCCAGAGGCTTCTTCTTCAGCGCTCCACGTATGGCCTCATCCTCCGTTCCAGATTATGGGCGGAAAAGGCGTCTCGCACTTCCTGGCTCACATCTCCCGAACCCGTCCCCTCCTCTTTCCCCTTCCCCCCACTCCCGCGCGTTCCCTACGCCGGGAACATCGATGAATTCTGAGCCTGTGGGATAGGTTTCGTTGAACTGGTGGTCCTCATCCAACCCCCGCGACCCGGTGGGGCCAGCGGGTTACCCGTCGGCATTGTGGATGGCTCCCAGGTCCCCAAATCTATTTCTGGCCCCTCGTTGGTGGTCGAGATATCGTTCCTCCCTTAGCACCTCGGGAGTTTGTTAGCTATCGCATCCACTTGCAACCCAATTTTATATTATTGTAAATCTATACATCAAATTAATTTTTTTTGGGTATCATGTTTATTTGTAGATAGAAAATTTAGTTTCTATGTATACTTTAATATCGAAAGCACTGTTTTTAATTTTAATAAAAGGATCAGTTTGCTTTCATTTAGCTTTTTGTAGACATTTTTAACTTTGTGAAGGGCCTAAAACTTTTACTCTATTTGAATTCTACAAACTTAGGTGCAATCTCTAAAACGCAATTTCAATATGAAATTTTTTAAATCATTTTTGAAGGAAGTTTAGAGAAAGTATGGTTATTCTCAATCAGAATGTTTTGGTGGTTGAAAAATACCACAGAAGAAATGGTTACTATGCAATATGTGTTTGATTTATTGATAGCATTTTTTTGAATGTATGTTATGTCTTCTACTAATTATTTTTCCAAAAATTTCTTAAAAACGTTTCAACAAACTGTATTTGACGCTTTCATTAATTATTTCACTGTTTTACTATAAATATAAATGCCGGAAAAATAATTCATTGTTCTGTTGGAATTGAGATTTCTTATACCACTTTTACAGATCCACTTAATTTACTAATTTCATGAATCCTTTATTTTTTTTAAAAAAAATTCAAACAAATATTTTTGAAAAGTGCACAACTTGATGCATTGTAATATATATATATATATATATATATATATATATGTATCTAATATCTTCACACACTAAAACAATATCTCAACTTTAATGCGTTATGAACAAATTTAATACATTATTATGTCTTGAAAAGTACTTATTTTGACCAACCAGTTATTGAGTAATATACATATATTTATTATTTATTAAAGACATTATATTTATTGTTTGGAAAATGAAATGATGGATTCTTGAATGAACATTGAAAAAAAAACAGAATTACATGTACATATTGATTGCAAGTAGCATGTATGTGTGTGTTAGTGTATACATATGTATATATATATATATATATATATAAATAAATATATTTATTTATTTATTTAAAATCAAATATCGTTGTTCTTAATGAATTACGTCTATCGTTGTTACTATCTGGTAGTTTGATTAATATCAAAGTTTGATGGTTGCCACTCGAATTTAATGTTAGTTATCACCACAGAGACTTCGAGTAATAATGAAACTAAGATTCAAAGAAACTATTACCATTACCAGATGTCAAATGATGTATGCTTTAAAAGAGAAAGATAGGTTCTTAAACATTGTTCTTCTGAAACGTTTATTTTCAACACTTTATTAGAAAGCTTGTCTAACAAAAAAGATTCGTCTACTAAGTTGTATAATTACAAGTCATTTCAAACTGAAAAAGGTTGGCTTTTAAACTTATAGATAACATGTAAATAGTTAGGAAATTTACAACATTCTTAATATTGTCATTCTTAAAAACATTCGCATCATAAAAACCTTATAGCATCTTGGACACTCACTGAATTACTATCGTTGTTCTCATGTGACAACTTTGACTTCAACTTCATCTTGCACAAAATTCTTATGCAGTTATGTTGTTCACAATACCTCATACGTTTGAAAATTTGTTAGGTAAGTTTTGTTTATTTATTTTGTACGTCAGTTTTCAACGTAAAGATTTTATCATAAAAATTCAAAACCATGTTCATACAGATAAAATACATCTTCACTGATCAATGATGGAGAATGTTATTGAAAACCACCTGAATTATTTCTGAACACCTTGGTGCTTTGCAAATTTTACGGTTCTAAGTTTCATTTTGAATTACATACTCCACAAGTCAATCAAAACTCAAGAAAATATCAAGAACAAAACTTGGAGGCAAAATAGCAAAAGAAAATGCAGATCCGATCTTTGGTTAATGAAGCAAAAACATTTCATCTTTAACGCAACCATACATGGATTGAAACAAGAAAGCATTTGATCATATTCTGTTGTTCTACAGGTGGACTCTAATAAATGGCCACCCTATGAAACCAGGCAGTGGTCAATGTCAAACAATTTTTGGTAATTATATTTCTGATTGACACCTACCTTCAGTTGGACTTTTGAAACAAAATGAAGTAAAATAGGCAACAGGTTGTTGAACTGAATAATCTCTAATCAAGCAGGCCATAAGAGAGGGAATAATATCAAAGGCTTGGAAAGAGGTATGGTACACTTAAAGAATACTAATACGCCAATGCGAGAATTTCGATCAATGTAAGAAGTGAAAGAACCTCCCTAGGCATCACTATCACTAAGACTCACCTAAGGCCTGTGAATGCTTTGTTGCAGCTTAGGTTCTATTGGGGCCTTGAACATCTGATCAGGCCCATCATCATCAGTGCCGAAGTAGCGGTCTCCAAATTCACCCATCCCGGGAACAACACGGAACTCATCGTTCAGTCCTGCATCGATCTCCGATGTCACAATCTTCAGAAGTGGAAAGCGCTTGCACACTGTGTGAATACCTTCTGGAGCCTGGATTTACGGAAAACCAACGTTTTAATCACGAATGAGAAATGCACGGTGGAGAAATACTAAATTCCAAACCGAGGTCATTAAATCAGCTTCCAGAAGGGAAGACATACCGAGATAAGATTCAAGAATATGATGTGAGACTCTGGAACTCCTTTCCGAATCAACAACTCGATGGCTTGAACAGCAGAGTTTCCTGCAACACGTCAATCACGCATCTTTGTCATACAAACAAATCAACGAGTTATTAACCAGGAGGATTGAAAGCGTTTTCTTGTCCATGTTCAAGATCAAGAATCATAATCTTTGATGTCCATCCACCAGATATTGCAGTCGAGTACATCTGGCAAGACTATGCCACAGCTTACTATGATGCAAAAACATATGAAACATCTGGATTTTCTTTTCCAGGCACCAAAACACTACGGAAATATTAGAATAGAGAAACAATGTAATTCAGGTTCCTGTAGTACACTTAATCAAAATTTAGATCGTCAAAGTGAGCGAACAAAGCAGGATACCTGTTCCAAGGATGGGATCCATTAACAGCACGTGTCGGTCAGCTATATTAATAGGCAACTTCTCATAAATCAGCTGCATCATCACCATCAGCCACTTTTAACAGATGAAGTAGCTCCAAACTTTCAACATTTGCGATTCTGTGCAGCCTTGAATGAACTTAACATATTCGGATTCAGCGTATTGAAAATATGAAAAGATGAAGAAAAGCAAGCGTGATACAAGACCAATCACATCCAACAAGTACCTGCTTCCCGTCATCTCCCTCCCGGTGTATTAGAATCTTTCCAATCTTGATGCCCTTGCAACACGCCCGCAAAGCATTCTCCATACTCTCTCCACTGCGCAACATGTGCTAACAGAATGAGTTGACTGATATTCTGTGACTTACATCCTCGAAACAATCTCTGCACACAAACTTCAAATAAAGCTACAGCATTACTGCATAAGAAGATGCAACCAGACTACTGACACTCCACAAGCCCAGTGAACTCGTAACAATATCCCACTTCGGTGGTACAATAAATAAAAGATAACCTGCGAATGATGGAAACTCCACAAAGTTGCTTGCAGAAGTCCACTCCAACATATATTGAGCCTGCAGGAAAGTGCCGTCCACTGTGAAACAGGACAATAACACTGATATAGACATACAAATGCCAACATCAGGCTCCCTGCTCGCATATCATGACAAGTTAACAATGGCGAAGTGCACGGCATTCTTTAGCGCACCTGTTGGTGTAATAACCTGCTTCTCAGTGAAGGGTAGATGTCCAAGTCCATGTTCCACAATCTGCACTCGGAAAGAGTCATTTCTTCACTTCACTGGTTTCACAACTTCAATCCAAGAATAATAGCAAGAGTTTCAGAGACGTTGACAATCTTTTATACAAATAGTAAAGACGCATACTCACCAAGCGGATAAGACGGTCGGCATAAAAGACGAAATCATGTTTGGTAGTCTCCTGATCTCGAATGAGAGTATGCATTCCACGAATCTGTAACCATCAACGTACGTGTCACAAGTATCGCTATAAAAAGTTAGCCAACAAAAAGGTCGGTAGATAATGCTTCGCAAGTCAACAAAAGAGCGATGTCACTTGTGAAATTTAATCTTGGCACAGCATATTGAAATCATCCAGACCAAACATCAACTACAGTATGACACAGCGACCCAATCTTCTGCACTGATCTTGATTGTCAACAACTTTGATTTTGGAGGTCGCTAGGCAGAGGGTACATATTGAAGAAAGGGAAAAATAAAAGATGAATGAAAAAAACAATTAGATCATATGTCAATGCTACCACACTGTTTACGGACATGATTACAGAGTGTCCTACAAGTTTCTGAGATAATCATATGAGTTCACTAAAACAGCACACACTAGGTAGCGTACATGAGTGAGGATGTCGGATATTCACGTGCTTCCTTTGACAACAAAGTTCAAATGGCATATGAACATGGCATCCTTCACTCACAAAACAATGTGAGGAACACTGGAAACTTCGAGAACTTCGAATGACGACTTATCATTCCCATGAAACTGCTGATATAAGAATTAGACAATACCTGAAAAGTGGACTGGATAACAAATACATTCGGATATATTTTGCGGAGATCATGTTGACCAAGTTTCATGCGAATATGCTGAACTATAAGATCAATAGCCACATGATTGTCTCCTCCACGGGGTAAGATGACATCCGCATACTTCTTTGTTGGCAAAATAAAATCATCAAACGCTGGCTTCACAAACTTTGCGTACTGCGTACACCTCCAGAAGTTAGTTCATCTTCATTCCGTATAAGCTACGAGATCGAAGTGTTCGCACTAAGACGCCATGGACAACAAGGCTGGGATGGTCAACAGATGTTACTCCGAACATACAAAATTAAACTAAGGTACCCAATGGAACATTTAGAACTAACTAGAAGTTTATCCATTAATCCACGTGAAAAAATGTTGCAGATCACTACACGTGAAGTGAAAATATTATGATAAAATTTTATTTTAATAAAATCGAAGATCGAAACAAACATCACCCCCCCCCCCTCCCCCATTCATGTGTGTTTGTGTGTGTGTGAATATATATATATATGTGTGTGTGTGTGTGTGTGTGTAAGTGTGTGACGAATGTACAATCAAATATTATCACAACTTCACGAAAGCAAGACTTATATCAAATAAAGAAACTTAAACGGATATTGCGGGTTAAATTTAGCATCAGAATTTTATTGACAAGTCTGTCCTTTGAACCCTGTCAAGCAAGTACTGATATCTCACCTGTTCAATCACACCATTCACGTCTCTGCCTCTCTCCAAAGTGTCCCTCTTTATCCGACGTGCTAATCTGACATCCGCATCTGTACTGCACAAAAGAACGTGATTACTAATGCCCTCTGAATATGTCTAGACTAAATATATCTAGATTCACAAGTTATGAGGTAATTCGTAACGAAAGCTAAAATCTTAAGCCGTATGAAATCTACCGAAATGTGTGAATAAAGCTGACCTGTATCCACAAAGATCTTCATGTTCATAAGCTCCCGCACACGGGCATCATGAAATACCAAGATGCCCTCCATGATGATCACATCAGATGCATTCACCTGTACAGACAACAGCAGAATCCGTTAAAAAAATAGCATATATATATATATATATATATATATATATATATATATGTGTGTGTGTGTGTTCTGCGTAAGCGTTGAAGAGTGAGCATAAAAGCAATGATAAATAAACAATTACCTTCCGATACCTATCATTGCAGCGCTGATGCTTCTTGAAGTCGTACACAGGTATCTGAACAGGTTGGTTAGCTTTCAAGCTCCCAAGACATTCCAATAGCTGTTCCGTATCAAAAGCATCTGCAGTTGATTGTTAAGTCTTTCAGAAAGAAATCAAATTTACTATCAACATGTGATAGAAGCCATCTACAAATAACCAGAACCAAGTCAAAGATTGGATTAAATGCATTGAAAGAAGAACTCACCAGGGTGATCAAAGTTATACTCTCCAACATTAGCCATCTCTTCGGGTTTCAGCCCGCGGTAGAAAGAATCCTGTAACGGGATCATCTTACGAAGACTCAGCAAAGAGCTACAACATCCAGTTGGACCATGTAGAAAACCTGATACTACATACATTCAAATTGGTGTACAGTTTCATTGTGAGAGTTCGAGAAAGATTTCAACCGCAATCTAGAAGAGGTATAATACCTGATTAACAAGCACAACACGGTGATCGTGTAACTGTTGAATAATCATGTCACACACAGTTGTCTTCCCCGACGCAGTACCTCCCGCTACACCTGCACGCACAAACCCATATGTCTTAGGCCGCACGTACAAAGCTAACTTCATTTAGCACGTTAAGCAAATTTTCAGTCAAAGCAGGCATAGGCAAAAAAACCAAACGAATTAATGTTTTTGACAAAAATAAACAGACGACGACGAGGCGAGCGCACGAGTGAGCAAGTCCTCTTCACTAACCGATGACGAAGGGGACCTTGTCAGCGCCTTTGTACTTCGGCACCGGATACTCATCGTCAAAGTGCAGGCCAGAGAAATGAGCTGCCGCCGTAGCTTCCATGATGGTGTCTGGGTCCGATTTCACCATCTCGCACTTCACCTCTAGTATCCCAATTCCATAAAATCGATTCACCTACATAACTGGTCGCAAGATCCCACTACTCCTAACCCTAGCTCTTCTTCTACCCAAAATTCCAGTATTCCAAAACTCCCACCAGAATTCTCAAGCACAACGTCTTCTGACTTCCCTGCGGGGGAGGGGTCGTGCTGACTAAGAATTTTCACATCCCTTCAATAGCTGTACAAAGCAGATGTTATCTTAAACTCGACGCATCCCATGCGACAAGACACCGCACTCAAAGGAGCGGAACAGGGTGACACAAACATGTTAAGGTTTAGCCAGCACTGGGGTTTATCGGGTGAGACATGTTCGCATCGTAATGAACGATACTGAAGCAAGCGAGGTTTGATTTTAGCTCATGCTCCAGAGTACCAAACCCTGATCCAAGATTCCCACCCGAGATGCCAGTCGACTCGGCGGTCTGAAGAGGATGGTAGGTTGCGTGGCAGAATGGTCGGTACAATAGCTGGTATCTTCTAGGAATCTCTTGCTGGGCCTTTTGCCACAGCTTTCTACAACAAAGGCCTGGGTATCATGGTGAGATATCTTGCTTTCTGTGCAATATACAGAAAAATTGCTGTGCTTTTTGTGGACCAGGTTCCGATTTGTTCAGAATGGCCATCAAAGATTCTATGTGATTTTTTCTCCACGGAGAAAACATTGATGCAAGTATCGATTGCAAAAACTGTATGAATCAGACTATATTAGCCACCAAAATTGTGAACAAATGCTTTCTTTCCAGTAAAAATAGTATATACAAAGGTCTATCATAATCAGATGGTTGATCGAAAAGTCTGTATAGGCTTGTGCTCCATCATTACCAGCCATGATTACAGTAGGAAGTTCCAAGCTCTCTAGCTCTTGTTCCATCTTCTACATCTGTACGTGTTGGTGGTGGAGTGGAGCAAGCATAAAAACCGAGTTCTACCTGATATGGTTCTATTTAACATCGTACAATTTCTAGAAGCTTAGTGCTCCCTGCATCCAATTTGATGGATGGCTTTTACAACATGCACATGGAAGTAAATTACCAAAAAACTTCAGAGCTGGCATCGGTGTTATTCTTGTGTGTTATCATTGCCGGTGTCCACTTGGTAGTTGCACAACGTGATAGAAAGGGACGGTCTTTGTTGGAAGGCCAGCTACTCCGTCTTCTTCGTCGCCGTCAAACTCAAGTGAATACCTGCACCAACGTTGTAAATGAGTTATAAGGGAATTTCTCATCAACGACGGCAACATGTCAGAAGAATCCTTCTCTGGTAACCAACTCCACGTCAATATAACTATGAGCTTGAAAAAGCATGTAAATGTATGTGACAGGGCTAGTTTGGAGTAACGCATGAGTGTCGAGCACAAGTCGATAAAAATTAAATGAATGCTACCCTTCCAACAATAACAAAGCGACAAAAATAAAAATGTCTTGACCCTGAAACAAAAAGTAGTTCAACTTGACGAATATGTTGAAAAAAGTAACAAGAATTGTAAAACATAAAATTAGGGAGTATGAAGACTCACTCATCGCTTCGTTTCTGTCATTTCAGATGCATCCCAGCGCAGCCACATTCAAACGAAGAGTGAGACTCGAATTTTGAAGAAGATAAAAGTTGCTTAAATCTTAGATACACTACTGAACGACAGACCCAAGATATTGTAGAAACGAGTTATTTTGGCCATTTCCTGCAATCAGGGTTGCTTATTACAGCTATACAACTGTAGACTAGACTAAGTGGAGAGAGTCACAAATACTGTTACACAAGAACAAGCATTTTGCAACTTAATCAAGCGAAGGTTAAAAAGCAATTGGCAAAGCTTGAGACGTATGTCAATTGAACTTGAACAACGAGACCAGTAACACACTAAAAGAGTCACAAAGCAGTCAAAGTGCCTTTACCTTGCGTTGAGGCCCAACAACCGATGCTTTATATAATGCAGTTGTACCAGGGTAAACAGCCAGAACTTGGGTCCCCACAGGGAAGTCTGGTGCGTTGGACACATCCGATCTCTTTGTAAAAGGAATGATTTGTGATGCAGGTAACTTGTACTTTCTGAGAATGCCACACAGTCATCCAAACTTTATCAAAACTGCTTGGGCATAGTACATAAAAAGAGTGAATGTATCCTCTGCAGTATACATAGCGATCATGAACTGTAGAGAGAGAGACCAATCGCTCCTGAGACAAAACTCCCACCAATTCTTACCAAACAACTATAGAACACAATCTTATAACGTCTAAGACACATTCCAGGTGCATCACAATATCTTCAAGGAAAAAGAACGCAAGCAACAAATTAGTTGGCAGAAATACCTTTGGCCATTTCCTTCATCGTCAGGCTCTTCGTCAATCACTTCAAACCTGATAGAGAAAAAAAATTAAAATTGTGTTCAGGTAATAATACAAATATTGTTTATGACTAACTAGGTCTTGATATCATATCAAGCATGAACTAAATTGCACAACAGATCTGTCTTACTTCACTCAGAGATAGACCTACAATTTAAGAACTGCCATAATTGCACATACATCAATTTTTAAGTCGCTATCCCTATATCACAAGGAAGCGCAAGATTTCTACTTACCTGTTTGTTTCACGGTCATACTTCGTCAATTTCACCACGATCCACTCATCATTTTCTGCACCATCGCCTGAAATACGAGCTGCTACCTGCCATGCTTCATACTACTTGTTATAACATGGAGATCCTCGATCCTATCTAAGGTCAAGCATTCTCAACCATGGAATTCTGTTGGATTTTAACCAACAAAAAATCCCAACTTAGAAATTGACCACCTCATCGGATCCAATGCTGTATTCCACATACATCATAACCCTAATACTGACACTCATTTCATTCACAACACATCAAATATCACTCTCACTCTCATACATAACATTCTAAACTAGTTGAAAACAAATTGACGGGCCGCGTAAGCAAAGAAGCAAAGCCTAACCTGATCTCCAGATGCTAAATTATTATAGGCAACACTTGTGCTTCGCTGAGTGGGGGAAGACAGTCGAGTTGAATCATCTGCTCTAACTCGCTTTCGTTTCTTTTCGTTGGGATCTGTTTGTAACATGGAGCCGCCTGTGGTCAATTTAAAAGGCACCCTTGTAAAGCACACCAACATCGGACCCGCAATAAATAACAAAGATGGGTATTCTTCAAAGTCTCAGTTACATTCAGTTATTGAATCAAACTGAATAATAGACTAGTTTTAATCAAGCTCAACGAAGATGACGATCTACAACAGTAATACCTGGTTTCTTGCGGTTGGGGGGCGCTTGGCCAGGTAACAACCCAGTCAGATGCTCAATGCAATTAGTGGAAACACTGCCAATTTTTCATAACATTGTAAGAGACCCAAGAATCAAAAGATTGTTTCGATTCTTAAAATTAGCACGACACTTGTGTGTGTGTGTTTGAGTGTGTAAAAGTATTGAGTATGTGTATGTGTGTGAGAGAGAGAGCGAGAGAGAGAGAGAGAGAGAGAGGCACCCACGTTGCTTCATCTTCAGCCAAGGTCTTCGCCTTGATGTAGTAAGTCCGCAGCTTTATCCAAGAATCATCTTTCATGTGGTCCGCTTGTTCAGGAGCTAATAACCAAAAAAACCCAACATTTTGCTCCCACTTCAAATCATCCTCTCACAACTCAACTCAAATCTCAAAACTCAAAAACTAAATAAATGCAAAAGAAAATATGAATGTAATTACCCATAATCCTCAGGCAACATTCTCGTGTGGCATGCCAACCAAGAATCACCGACAATTAGACAAAATTCAACGCAAGAGTTTCTTTTCCACAACCCAATTCTTAACATCCCATAAACTAAAATTTCCGACAAGGGTTCCCCACCTCCCCCCACACACAACCTTCCTTCGAACATTCTGACACAACAAAAAAGGATCCGACTGCGCATAACATTGCCATCAGGACAGGAACCAAACACGCAACTCTCAGGAAAAAAGCCACATACACTGCTGGAGCTTGGAATGATAATTGTTAATTTTGCGAATAACAAGCTCTTGCTCTTTACGCAGCCTCTCGATTTCCTTCAAAGCAGCATTGGCCAACTCGAGAGAGGCCATCGCCTTGTTTTTGGTTGCAGTTGCAGCAGCAGCAGCCCCTCCTGCCCCAATCACTCACTCACTCACTCACCCTGGTGCTGTCTGTCTGTGATTGAGAAGCTGTGAAGTATGATAGTATTCGTTCAATAGGAATCAATCGGAACAACACAACAACATATCCACTGGCCCACTAAGGCAGAATCAGAATAAGAATAATAAAAAAGCATAACAACAAGGAGGAGGAGGAAGATTGTTAGTTTGTTGTTGGGGTCATTGCACGTTGTCGTCGGCATTCCTCAAAATAAGCTTCTTCGTATTAGTAGTGGTAGTATTCCCTTCCCATTCTCATTCCCCATTCTCTCTTCTTCTTCCAATTTTCTTCCTCCTCCTGCTGGCCCGAGTCCACACTTCCCTCCTCCTCCTCTTGCGTTCATTCCTTGTCTTGTCGCGCTTTTCTTTCCGAATAAAAGTTAAAGAGCAAAAGCCGCTCTTCTTCTTCTTCGCCTTTGTCTTTCCCTTTCCTTCCCTCTTTCCCACGATTTCTTTTTTCTTTTTCTTCCTTCTCCTTTGCCCTGCTCCCTTCTTTCTTTCACGGTCACGGGTCCGTCTTTCGCGAACAGTCAAAAGTCCTTGCAGAGCCAAGCTTAGGGTCACTACATCCGCCACGTGTGCGCTCTAGAAACCGTCGGATCTAATCTTTTGGAATGGTCAACCATTTGTCCTTTTGCCTAAAGCAAATATCCCATGAGTGGGTTTATTTTATTTCTTCATGCAATTTTGTATTTATTTTGATATTATTTTTTAAATTAAAATTTTGCTACAAAATATTGATGATTCAGCATGGCCTTGAGATGTTTGGTACCTAACTGTTGAAAGTCTTTACTTCTGCTGCCTAACAAAATTGTTGAGATCATTAAATGTAGCCGGTGCTCTCTATAATATTTACTGTAGACTATAATAATTACCATAGCTATAGTATTTAGAGTCTAGTGGAGAAGTACTGTTTATCCTCTCCTCTTTTTCTCTTCTTGTATACGAGACACAACCAGATCAATAGATTTGTGTGTGTGTGAAGCTCTCTCTCCTTAGAAACCCTTGTGTGTATGACTTACTACTATTCTTGTGTGTGTGTATGACTTACTATTACTCTTGTGTCTTTCTAAACATTCTCAACACGTTATCAGCACGACTCTCTTCTACACACTATCACAATTTTTTGCTCTAGTCTTTGGCTCTTCAAACTTGTTCCTATCCTTTCTCAGTATCTGCCTCATAATCTTGTTCTTCTTACTAGTCCCTCACACATTAGCTTGTTTAGAGCACTTGTTCCACTCTCTACCGTACTTGCTTAGAATACTTGATCCAGTCCAACTCTACTCCAGCTTGCTCCCTGCTCTCCACTGCGCTCCACCCCTCCTGTTGCCAAACAACCATCAAACTCGTCGCTACCACCTTGTCGCCGTTGACACTGCCATCCACTGTTGCCACCCGTCATTGCATGTCGTTGATCGTCGCCGCCCGCTGCCGCTGTTGCCTTTCATTGCCCGCTGCTGCCCATCGTTGCCCGTCGCTGCCACCCTGTCGCCCTACTGCTGCCACCTTGTCGCCCTACTGTTGCCGCCCTACTGTTGCTTGCTGTACCATCTTATTACTGTTCTGCTGCCTTAATCTACAACTCTCTCTTTAAAAAACTATATATATATATATATATGTATATATATATATATATATATTTTCAAGTTCAAGTTTATCATTTTATTTGACTTTATATTTTAAGGTACGTTTTACTCAACTTTTCTACTTGATCTTGTATTTTCTTTACAGATTTATTTATAATGAGTGCTTCAACATCTTCAACTGCTTCTACTATGGTTCCAACTACTACCAATGCATCCCAACATTTTCAAGCTCTTTTATTTCCACCATTGATTGTGGATGGAAACAATTATCTATTATGGGCAAAAATGGCAAAAGTAAATTTATTTGCAGAACAACTCTCAGATGCCATTATATTTGAAGAATCTCATACAACAAGTATTTCTATATCTCCTACTATTTGTTGGAAAGCACTTCTTCTCCTTCGTCGTCATCTTGTACCTGCATTACAATATCAATATTTGGAAATGGAAGATCCTGCAGAACTTTGGAAGAATCTTAAATCTAGGTTTGATCATCAAAAGACCATTTTTCTTCCACATTCACATCATAATTGGACACATTTATGTGTCTTGGATTTTCCAAATTTAAATGCTTTCAATAGTGAAATGTATAGTATTGTCTCACAATTACGATTATGTGGATAAAGCATTTCTGAAGAAGAAATGATTGAAAAAACTCTCTCTACATTTCCTCTTGTATCTGCTATACTTGCACAAGAATACATGAACATGAAATTTCAGAGTCATTCTGATCTCATATCCTATCTACTTCTTACGGAGAAGAAAAATGAGCTACTCTTGTGCAATGCGAAAGCTTGTCCTATTGGAACTATAGTTCCAAAATCTCATGCACTTAATATTTCAAAATCTAAGAAGAAATTATATAAACATGGAAAACATGCTCATAAGTATCAGGGTAGTCATAGTCAAGACCATTTCTATCCATATGGAAAGAATAAACGTTCTACTATTAATTATAGTAGAAAATAAAAATTAGAGATGTGTTCTTGCCATAAGTGCGGAATGATTGGATATTTAACACATGCGTGCGATACTTGAGAATATTTTATTAAAATGTTCCAAGAAAATAAGAAATTACAAGCTGAGGCTCGTGAAGTTCATACCATGGATGCGTCCATGGATTCAATTGGTGTTGATGACTTAGAGGCTTATATGAATGATAGAACTTCTAATGATGAATCAAATAATGCACTCATTGATTCTGCAACAATACATACTATCTTGCGAGATAGACAATTTTTTTATTGAAAAATCTTCAACTTGGCAAACTAAAAATATGATGACTATGGTTGGAACAAATGCGTTTTTTTTCCAAGAGGGCACAGCAATGGTAAAATTATCTACGAGTTCCATCATAAAATGTAAACATGCGATGTTTGCACCCTCAGCACCTTGGAGTTTGATTAGCTACCGAGATATAAGTATTAATGGTTATTACCTCTCGACTGCCACTTTAAATAGAAAAGAAGTTTTGGTTCTTGCGAAGAACCATAAAGTTGTTGAAAAAGCTTTTGCTATAGAAAATGATTTATACCAAATTGTGATTCGGCCTCCCATTATATTTAATTTCGCATCATCTATCTCAAAGAGTCGTATTTCTTTCTGGCATGGACAATTGGGATAGACCATCTATTACAGTAGATGAATCATTTGCATATATGATTATAGAAGCCTTTTCTTGCGAGGAAGACGATCCCAAATCTCAAACCATCGAAGAAGTGATGCATCGCTCAAATTGGTCAAAATAAAAAACTACTATTGAGGAGGAGTATGCCTCTTTGCGTAAGAGAAAAATCTTTGGTCCAATTGTAGTCACTCTTACATCTTGCCATGTGAAATATAAAATGGTATTAATATGCAAGTGAGATACTCAAGGCCAAATAACCCGCTATAAAGCTCGTCTTGTTGCTCAAGGATTTATTCAATGATTTGGCATTGATTATGAATCCACATATTCTCCAGTCATGGATTCAATTACATTTTGATATATTATTGGAATGACACTTCATGCCACCCTTGAGATGCATCTGATGGATATAGTAACTACATATCTATATGGTTCTCTTGATGCAAATATTTATATGAAAGTTCCACTTGGCTTAGAAATAGGAACTCCAAATCAACCCGCTCCAGGAAAATATCATGGTATTAAATTATGTAAGGCCTTGTATGGTTTAAAATAATCTGGATGAATGTGGTATCAATATCTTTGAGATTATTTAATTAAAAATAATTTTATAAATGATCCACTAATCCAGTGTTTATTTATCAAACGAGATAAAATTGGTTTTGTGATCATCGTTGTATATGTTGATGATCTTAACCTAGTGGGCACTACATCTGCATGTGTTACAGCTACAAATCTACTTATACATGAATTTGAGATAAAAATGCTAGGAAAAATAACTTTCTACATTGGTCTTCAGATTATGCATCTAACAGATGGTAGCATTTTTTTCTATCTACTAACGTATATTAGACAAATCTTGTGAAGATTTAATATGATTGATGCTTATCCATTATCTACACCAATGGTTGGACATGGTCATGATAGTCATGATCCATACTGTCCATGCGAGGAGGAGGAGGAAATATTGGAAGACCAATATCCATACCTCGCAGCAATTGGGGCACTTTTGTATTTAGCTATATTTACAAGACCAGATATTGCATTTGCAGTTAGTGTTCTTATAAGACATAGTGCACGTCCAACACTACGACATTGGAATGATATCAAACATTTATTACGTTATTTAAAAGATACTGAAGACTTGGGATTATACTACATACAATCCGTAAATCCAAAATTGGTTGGATATTGTGATGCAGGATATAAATATGATATTGCAACAGCTAAATCTCAAACAGGATATATATTTTTAAGACATGGAGCTGTAATATCATGAAAATCAGTGAAATAAACAATAACTGCAACTTCATTCAACTATGTAGAAATTATTGCTTTAAATGAAGCATCTCGAGAATGTATTTGGATGTGATCAATTGATAAATTTATTCAAACAACCTGTGGATTTTCATATGATGATTCTTCAACTATCTTGCATGAAGATAATATTGCTTGTATTGCACAGATGCAAGTTGGTTTCATTAAAGGTCACAAGACAAAGCATATTGATCCAAAGTATTTTAATTATACTCATGACTTGATTATTGATCAAGCACTTATAATTAAAAAAAATGAATCTACAAATAACCTTGCTGATCTCTTCACCAAAGTTCTCCCATTAAGCAACCATCGTCGACTTACTTATGGCATTGGTATGCGGCGACTTGCTTTTCTTGAATATGAAAGTTAATGAGCTCTTTAAATAATTAAAGAAAATGATGTTGTAGTCTTTTTCCTTCATCTATGATTTTGTCCTTAAATACAATAAGATTTTCCTAGATAAGGTTTTAATGAGGCAACAATTATTGATCTTACAAGATCACAGAAAATTATAGATCATAATTCTATACAAATTTAATATTATGTAAATATTATGATGAGCGAGGACGAGTATTGAGATCATTAAATGTAGCTGGTACTTTCCATAATATTTATTGTAGACTACAGTAATTATTGTAGCTACAGTATTTAGAATCTAGTGGAGAAGTACTGTTTATCTTCTCCTCTTTTTCTCTTCTTGTATACAAAACACAACCAGATCAATAGATTTGTGTGTGTTTGAAGCTCTCTCTCCTTAGAAATCCTCGTGTATATAATTTACT